CTCGATCCACAACGTTATATATATATATATAGCACAATCGCGGCATGGCACATCGCAACTCAGCACGGCCCAGCACAGCCCTCGGCACGGTAAATCACGATCGATGCACTCAACATTGCAACTTGGCGCGTTCCGTGGCGCGTCCCGTGGCGAGTCCCCCTGGCACGTCGCGCGGCGCGTCCCCTGGCACGTCCCGTGGCACGTCCATTGGCACGTTCCGTAGCGCGTCCCCTTGGCACGGCCCGAGGTGCGTCCCCATGGCACGTCCCCTGGCACGTCGCCTGGCGCGTCCCTTGGGACGTTCCGCGGCGCGTCCTCCTAATTAGCATGTCCCCCTGTCAATTAGCTCTTGGGCAGCTACTATGTGTTCAGACAGCTCGAGCTTAAGAGCCAGATCAGTTCGGTCAGGACTCGGATGCAAAATAGGACTCGATACACAACGCTATATAGAGCACAATCGCGGCATGGCACATCGCAGTTCAGAACGGCGCAGCACAGCACCGCCCTCGACACGGTACACCAAGATCGATACACTCAGCATTGCACTTGTCCGTCTCCCAATCAAGTGTCTTTGAAACGCCGCCATGCCTTACATTTCTATATTCCTTTCCGGGTTCGTGGGTCGATCATGTTTCAAGACGGGGTCCCTGGAAGTCCCGACCCTTCCCCAGAACCGGCTTTTCCTCTTGAGTCGTTTTTTTGACGGCCGGCCAAACTGGCGGCTCCGCCCGCTTGCCCCGCTGTTCCTGCTCCCCCAGCTGTGATGCGTGCACTGACCGGGCCAGCCAGCCCTCCCATCCCCGCCGTCCGCCCCGCCGACCAGGTGCTCCCCTTCGGTTGTGGGCGCCCTCGCAGCGCTGCGACACTTCAGTAGCTGGTGCTTCGTTCCTCTGCAGCCCCCTGCAGCGTTGTAGCTCTGCTTGGGCGCCCTCGGCAACTTTGCAGCCGGCAGACCGGCAGCTCCGCTAGCTCAGCAGCTCAACGCGACAGTAGCACTTGTCTGCAGCGAGCTGGTCGCTGGCCCAGCTCCCATGGTCGCCTGGGACCTTCCCGCATACCGCTGGCGGCGCGCCTGCGGCAAAGCCTGTCGCCCACGGCCTTTGGACGAACACCTGGATGCTGCCCGCTTCTGTGGGTTCGCCGCTCCTCCTCCCATACGGGTTCGGCCTGGTCTAGGCTTCCAGCGCCTGCAGCCTCTGCCTCAGCCCCTGGGTGTGGCCGTGATGCCGCTCCGCGTCCACTGCCAGGCTGCCTCAGCACAGGCTGGCCGCACTGGCCAGTCCTGAAGAAGGCATTCGCACAATGAATGCCCTCCCTCTTTCGCCCGCCTTCCGCGGCAGCCCTCCGTCTCCTTCTCCCCTGTTGTTGCAGCCAGACAACTAATTGGTGCCTGATCCCGGCCTACGAGAGCGCGAGTGCGGATCGCCTCTGCCCCGCCGCGACGTAAACAATTGCCATAGCCGACCTGCGACTCCCACAGAAAGGCCTCTTCGTTTTATGCGCAGTCGGGGGAAGACTGTGTGCACAGACGGAGGAGATAGCGGGCGAACGGGAGAATTAGCGGGAGGAGAAGGATGAGGACGATCAGCAGCTGCAGCAGCAGGAACTAAAGCGGAAGGATAGAAAAAGAAAAAGAGGATGGACCCGTGGAAGGCGGAAGAGGGAAAATGAGGGGGGGACCACAATGAAGCAATAATCGGATCCAGGACAGTGGCCCGCACTAGGACGAGAGCACTGTTCTGAACGACGGGAGCAAAGCACCGATCCGAAAAAATTCGAAAACGAGGCCCACGCTGCAGCGGGCGCACCATCTTGAAACACCGAAAACAGTTGGATTGTCAAAACCCACAAGGAAAAGAACAACTTTTGAAGTCCACGCGGAGGGGGCGGGAGATCCTCCGGACAACTTCAGGGGAGAAGGGAGAGTAGCATTCACTCTCTTTCACTCTACAAGGGGAGAAGGGGTGGGGGAAAGGGGCTGGCAACCGCCGCGCAAGCAAACTCAGCCGTCCGTTGAGGACCGTGCTGGGCCGGTCTGCTGTCGGCGCTTGCGAAATGGAGCCGACGCGCGCGCTTCCCGCGGTCCGCGTGCCGCCGCGGCGCAGATCCATCGACAGGGCTTCTGCAACTCGTCATGCGACCCCCCGAAGTATCGAACTGCGAGAAAATGCTATCGAAACTGTCGGCCACACGGCCCGGAAACGGGGCCAGCGACCCATAAGACTGCGCCGCGACTGCCACGGCTTCGGCGCACGGCCCCTCGTTGGCGGAGCCAGTGCGTGGTCCCTCGTGGGCGGAATCGGTGCGTGGCCTCACTGCCCCATCGCGTGTGCTCGTGTCGAGACTGCTTCGCGCTCTGATGGTACTCTGGCTGCCCACGGCCCTCTATCCGCCTTTCCTAGAAGAAGAAAAAAACACATAAACATAACTTTCTGCGCTCCGCGCGGATTTCTTGGATCCGCGTGGGCGGCGCCAGAGGCGCCGCCACGGGGCCCAGCGCGGATCCAAGAAATCCGCGCGGAGCGCCAAAAGTTTATGTTTATGTGTTTTTTCCTCTTCGATTTCGCTCCGGGCCTTTCTACATATTGCCGCCCTGGGGGGCCCCAGGCGCACCTCAGCAGCCCTGCCGTACAGCCACAACCGCAACTTGGATCCAGGGCGCCGCCGGTCAAAAGGGTACTCGAGTCGAGGACGACGCCGTCATCGGCACGCGAGCCCGCCGCGCCCTGGTCGGCTGCACGCAAGAGCGACCCTGGGTATAAGAGTGACCCTTGGTGCGCGGCCGTTTAGGGGGCCGCAGGGGGCCCGAACACAAGCGCGCAAGACGCTACAGTCAACCCGAGTGAGAAGGACGCACGATCAGGATGCAAGGGCCTCGGAAGGCCACGCCGACACTCTGCTAGGGGGGCGCAGCAGCGCAAAAGCGACCAAGGGTGGGCCGAAGGGGAAGGCTGCAGGGGTGACCTTGGCACGCCGCTCACCTCCTCCTCCTCCTCCTCCTCCTCCTCCTCCTCCTCCTCCCTCCTCTCCTCTCTTCCTCCGCCTCCTCCCTCCCCTCCACCTCCCCCCCCCCCTCCCCCCCTCCCTCCCTCCTCCTCCCCTCCTCCTCCTCCTCCTCCTCCTCTCCCCTCCTCCTCCTCCTCCTCCCTCCCTCCTCCTCCTCCTGCTGCTGCTCCTCCTCCTCCTCATCCTCCTCGTCCTCCTCCCTCTGCTCCTCCTCCTCCTCCTCCTCCTCTCCTCCTCCTCCAACTCCTCCTCCTCCTCCTCGTCCCCCTCCTCCTCCTCCTCCTCCTCCTCCTCCTCCTCCTGCTCCTCCTCCTCCTGCTCCTCCTCCTCCGCCTCCTCCTGCTCCTGCTCCTCCTCCATCAGGCCAACTGGGCGAGACAGGGTTGCTGTTTTCCTTGGTCTCGGGGCCAATACGAAGGCAGAATGAGGCCAAAGTCGGGAGGATATAAACCAATGTGAAGTATAACCCGCGGGCCTGGAAGATGCATCGGGCGCCGCGGCCGTTCTGCAACGGTCTGGAACGCTCTGAGAAGAGCGTTCCGGAAAGCTCTGGAGCGATCTATCTCCCAGGCCTGCATCGGGAGCTTACACATCAGTTGCGTACAGAGAGAGTTCGGTCTTGAGGCCTGCTCAGCCCGAAGCTCGAGCCTGACCGACCTGAGCCATAATCGATACTTACCAGCAAGCTCACACACACACACACACACATCAGGCTGGACTCACGTGTGGAGCATCCGGATGCTACTCGCTACTGCGCAGCCACAGGAGGGCCGAGCGTCGGACAAATATCTGACCACACGTAGCCCGCGCCCGGGCCAACCGCGTCATGTAGGCGACGAAGAGAAGCGGGTCTCACGCGAGATGGCACAGCTACCTTACGCGGTGGCTGACGCGGGCCGCAAGCGCGGCACGCCACATCGGAAACGAAGGCGTTCGCGCGTGACCTCACGCGGGCACCTCAATTACGCGACAATGTCCGTGCGGACGGCCGACGACCCCGTTCCACGCCGCTCGTGTGGTCGTCTCTGGAAATCCCGAACCCAAACATTTGGACGCATCACTCTAGTAAGGATCCGAACTCTATAGCTACACCGATGCTTTTCCCAACCCCGCACCGACTTCGCACTAGAAAGCGGATCCTGGTGTGTACGGCATCCTGGTGTATACGAAACCCTGGGATCAGGTCGGGCATGTCCCCCTACAGGCGGGTTTTGGACGAAAGATCAAAAATGATCCAACAGACTTGTCAAACAAAATCATAGGAAAAACGTCCCCAGACTTTTTTGTTTGACTATTTTTGAATACGGTGTGGGCATTGGATAAGGAGCCCTTAGATAAGGAATCCGGGGTCTGAAGCCAGTGGAACTCCAATCGTGGATCGGCCATGGATATCACCGCCGCCCTCATCAGATAAGGAGCCCTCCAGGGTCTGAAGCCTCCTGGGCACGTTCCTCAACGAACGCCCCCACCGTATACTCCTCCTGAAGACGGGGGACCCGCCCGACCTGTGACCCCGTGGGATGGACGGACGGCCCGCCCCCTGGCACTGCACGCCTTTTGCTCCCACCGCCGCTGGAGCTCCCGCCGCCCTCCCCGCCGGCCCTCCGCCGGCGGGCCCGCAGCCACCGTGCGTGCGCCCGGCTCCCGCCCGACCTCCTCTGCCGGAAGGGGGCACCGCGCCGAAGGCGAGGCCCCTCGCCGGAGGGCCCTCCGCGTCCAGCCTTCTGGCCTTCGGTCGGGCGTGTCCCCCCCGCAGGCTGATTTTGGGATAAAGAATCGTAAGAAAAAAAAAGAGACCCCCCGCAAATATTCGAAAATGGGCAAAAATATGGGCAGAAAATCGTCCCCTGACTATTCTGTTGGCCGATTTGTGAACCTTCCTCCTGTGGAGGGACAGGCCCGACTGAATTCTGGCCACGGCCCTCCGCCCCCTCGGCCTCGAGAGGCGAGTCGCGGCAACGCGCGGCGGAGCAGCGGGGGGCGATGCGATGGGCCTCCGCCACCATGGCCTTCAGCTCGAAGAACTCCTGGTACATCTCCCGCGAGAAGACGACCTGGATCGAGGTCAATGGGCCGGGGGGAGCTCCAGAGGTCTCGGGAGACCCCGGGAGGAATGGGGAGGAGGAGGAGGAGGAGGAGGAGGAGGAGAAGGAGGAGGAGGAGGAGGAGGAGGAGGAGGAGGAGGGGGAGGAGGAGGAGGAGGGGGAGGAGGGGGAGGGGGGGGAGGGGGAGGGGGGGGAGGGGGAGGGGGGAGGAGGAGGGGAGAGAGGAGGACCAGTATAAACCCAAGACTCATCAAAGATGTTGAAATGCACCCCTCCTCCAAGACCCTTCTTCACAGGCCCTTACACAGGGGTCATTTTCACTGAGGGACTTGCCCCGTTGGGGGGCAACCGTGTGAACACCCTGAAGCGTGCCAAAACACAATTTCCAGGACTTCAACGCCACGAGTTAACCTGACTGTTAGGCACGTCTTGGCGATCCTGAATCGTGCCAGAACACCATCCACGGGACTTCAACACCGCGAATCAACGTAGCTGCTGCGCCCTGACCATCTTGAACAGCTCCAAAACACCATTTCTGGTACGTTAACCATGAGAATCAGGGCAACCCTTGACATGTTTAACAGGAGTGTGCGCGGCGCTAAAGCGATAACCATAGGTTGAAAACGAGCCACCCTCAGTCCGTGAAGCTCTTGCAATGTGTTTAAACGAATGTGCGCGGCGCTACGGCGAGAGCCACATTTTGAAAAGCAGCCGCCCTCAATCCGTGAAACTTTAACAGATGATTGAAGGAATGCGCTCGGCGCTGAAGCGAGAACCAGTCTGAAAATGGCCCGCCCTCAATCCGCGAAGCTCGTGTGTTTTTTGCTAACGAATGTTCGCGGCCGGCGCCAAGGCAAGAGCCCCATGTTGAAAACCACCCGCCCTCAATCCGCGAAGCCCTTTCAAATTCTTGATAAACAATGCGGCGCTGAGGCGACAATCACAGTCTGAAAACGGCTCGCCCTCAATCCGTGAAGCTCTTGCAATGTTGCTCAAAGGATGTACGCGGCGCTGTGGCGAGAGCCACGTAATTTTGAAAACGGCCCGCCCTCCATCTGTGAAACTGCTGCCACTGTTTAAGCATCAGGGTCATAAGTAATGACGGAGTCGCAGGCGAAACGCCAGGCCCGCCCTTTCGACCGACCTCGGGGTGCGACAGGAAGGACTTATCTATCAGGAAAGGGAATGGAGGAGGAGAAGGGGGACCAGAGTGAACCAAGGATGTATTAACAATGCTGCAATACGCCCTCCTGTCCCAAGTCCCTCCTTACTTGTCACTGCGAGCCGTCTTTCTCAGTGCAGGGAGCAAACCAATCCCAACCCCACCTCTCCAGAGGTCCGCCCTCCGCCGCGATCCTGCGGGCGCTCTGTTTGAAGGGTGACAACCTGTGCAGCGCCCCGCTTGAAGGGGGCAGGGCTGACTTCTTCCGACGGGGCAGGACAAAGGTAGCTTAACGGCCGCCACTCTTGCCGCTTTTACCTCATTCCGCTTCTGCGCGCTTCGCGAGTAGATATCCCAATCGTGGTGCTACTTCTTTGCAGGATACCTTAGGCCCGCCAGGCACCACGCCGGGCCGCCCCAGATATTTAGCGAAAAACACGTATGGGGTGTGGGGGGGGGGGGCCATTGTTACCTTGGCTCCGCCAATCCGTAGCCATGGCGGTGCTAGCCCCCCATACCATCATGGCGCAGCTGTGTCTCAGCGCGGACTTCGATCAGCGGGGTAGTGCAGCATGGAGGTGGACCGGGGTGTCCCTGGACATCTGCTGAAAATCAGCACCCGGGGGGAAATGTGTTCAGAAATTGTCCGGGTCCAGTTGTGTGCACCTCCTCTACACTCTTTCCCTTCTGTGTCCTCCTCCAGCTCGCCCGCCCCTCCGCCCAACCCCCAGCAGGCCCACTCCTCTGACTCTGTTTTCCTCTTTGCTTGGGTACGCACTGCTACCAGAGGGCCCCGAACAGTGGTGAATTGCACTGTGGAATAAGTTGCCAGCCGCGCTTCTGCCTGGCCACCAGGTGGCTCACATCATCACCACCTTCAGCGTCATCGCCTCTGGAACTCTGCCTGGACTGTGGGCTAAGGCTATGCGTTGTATACCCAGCCAGCCTGCGGTCCGTTGTTCCGGCCAGACCGACTCAGCAAACACAGCTGGAGTTCTGGCATCCGACACGCGCAGTGTGTAGGCAATTTCTGAGGTCCTGCTTGGTGGGGTGGTGGCAACAGCTGTCACGGTGCACCTTAGTTCCGCTGCTTACCTATCTGCGCCACCAAATGGCACATCATTTTCGTCGTCACTGGTACTCTGCCGGGACTGTGGGTTCAGGCTACGCAATACGTGCGCGAACAAAAAGCAATCTCCCCTTAGTTTTGCAGCGATGTTTGCCGAGGGCCCACAGAAGGGGACCAAGACTATTGAATGAACGTGCGATCTGTTTTGGGTTCTCTTGGAGCACTCTTGGAACTCTCTCGGGCCGCTCTTGGGCATACTTGGGCGCCGGAAATGGCCCCGGAGGGGTTCGAAAAGGGCTTGACGAGGGTCTCAAGAGAAGCCCAAGAGGATTCCACGGTCATGCAATATTTACTCTCTGGGTCCTCGTCAAGTCCCATTAGAAATCTCTTGGGCCCCTCTCGGGCCCCGTTTGGGCCTGTCAGTGTGCCCGGAAGAGGCCCCGAGGACCCCCCCCAGGTGACTTCAAGGGGGCTCCAACAGCAGCACAATCGTACAATACTCTTGGGGCTCTCTGGGAGTCTTCGCGGCCCCTGCCTCGATGCGCGCTCCATCTGAAGTCTCCACCCCAAGGCGTTCACTTCGAGGTCGCGCTGCCTCGTGGACAGTCGGGTGCGATGTCGGCTCCTTCGCCGCCGTCGCGCTGCCCCCGCTGGTTTCGCCGACCGAGCCCCGCGGCACCGACACGGCACCTTCATGGCAGCAGGGCGTCCGCGGTGGGGCCCGGAGGGCAGCCCAGCCCGGCCGGCCCAGCCTCCTCTCTTGCCACTGCCAGCCCCGGCCCAACCCTAGGCAGCCACCGACTGTCCATCCATTCCCATCTGGTTAACGCGCTCCTCCGCCCAATCCCAAGCGGGGTCGTGTGTTACCTTCCCCCTCCCCCTCAAAAATGGTACGCGATCCTCTTGTCCCAACTGAGCTTCCCTTCCTCCGCCCCCCCCCGCCTTCTCCGTTGCGCAGCCGCGGTCCCCCCTTCCCTCCCGCCTCGTTCGCCCGCTCCCCCGCCCAAGCCCAAGCAGGCCAGCTCTCTGCTTTCCCTTTTCTTGGGTACGCACTGCTACCAGTAGGCCCCGAACAGCTGGGAAAGGTATTGTGGAGTAGGGTGCCAGCCGCGTTTCTGCTGTGCCACCAAACGGCGCATCATCATCATCATCATCATCATCATCATCATCATCATCATCATCATCATCATCATCATCATCATCATCATCATCATCATCATCATCATCATCAGCATCATCATCATCATCATCGTCATCATCATCAGCAGCATCACCATCATCATCATCATCATCATCATCATCGTCATCATCATCATCATCATCAGCATTGCCATCATTATCATTACTCTTATCATCGTCATTATTAGCATCATCATTATTATTATCATTATCATCACCATCACCAGCACCAGCAGCATCATCATCATAATCATCACCATCACCATCAGCAGCATCATCATCATATTCATCATCAGTACCATCAGCACCGTCATCATTCTCATCATCAGCATCATCATAACCATCATACTCATCATCACCAGCAGCATCACCATCAGCAGCGGTATCATCATCGACATCATCACCATCATCATCGCCATCATCATCGTCATCAGCAACAACATCAACAACATCACCGTCGTCATCAACATCATCATCATCATTATCAACATAATTCGCTTCATCATCATGACCACCATCGTCGTCATCATCATCACGTGCGGCGTCATCGTCTCTGAAACTCTGCCCGGACTGCGGGCTAAGGCTATGCATTGTATACCCAGCCAACTTGGTGTCCGCTGTTCCGGCCAAACCGACCCAACAACCATGGCTGGAGTTCTGGCATCCGCCACGCGCAGCTTGTAGACAATTTCCGGGTGGGGGTGGCAACAGCTGTCACGCTCCACCTGTTTTCCACTGCTTAGCCAACTCAGTATCTGCACTACCACCAGGTGGCACATCATCTTCGTCGTCACTGGTACTCTGCCAGGACTGTGGGTTAAGGTTATGCAGTGCACACCCAGCTAGCATGTGGTCCTTTGTTTGCAGGGCGCCACTCTTGCACAGTCCTAGTGCGGGTGCTATCCAGGGCGCGCCATCGTCAGCAACCAATAGCAACAGGCTGCGAGTTGGGTTTTCCCCAGGCGACGGGTGTCCCCCTTTGGCAATCCCTCTTCGGCACAGGGACTGTTAAAAAGGCGGCCCACTCGCAGACCTGGCGATTTGGTCAACGATCCTCCTCCTCCTCCTCCTCTTCCTTCGCCCTCCTCCTCGTCCTCCCTCCTCGTCCTCCTCCTCCTCCTCCTCCTCCTCCTCTTCTTCCGCCCCCTCCTCCTCCTCCTCTTCTTCTGACTCCTCCTCCTCCTCCTCATCCTCCTCCTCCATCTCCTTCTCCTCCTCCTCCTCTTCCTCCTCCTCCTTTCCTTTAAAAAGTGTTTCCCTGTCGCACCCCGCAGCCAGTTTTTAGGGAGGGCTGGGCGCTTCGCCTGAAAACTCCTCACCATTTATGACCCTGAAGCTTCAAACATGACAACCGCTTCACAGATGGAGGGCGGGTGGTTTTCCAAATGTGGCTCTCGCCTTAGCGCCGCGTGCACTCTTCTTAAAACATTGCCAGGGCTTCACAGAGTGAGGGTGAGTCGTTTTCAACATGTGGCTCTCGCCTTGGCGCCGCGCACACTCGTCTTAAACATTGCAATACTTTCACGGATTGAGGGCGAGTCGTCTGCAAAATGTTGCTCTCGCCTTAGCGCCGCGCACACTATTTCGAACAAAGTGCAA